GGGGGAGGAGAAAAAAAAAAACGGAATGAAATCGATATCTCCGAAAAGCAAGATTCAGTGATCTCCACAACCCCGTGGAGATGGAGCTTCAAATTTGCTGGAGCGATTCTATGTTGAGAGAGGAAGAAGTTCGCCAATTTTTGTTCCTAATGATGCTCTCAGAGAGGAATACGAGACGGTTGAATTTTTTCGCCGGAAGGGGTTGAAGGAAGGTAATGGGTGCTACCTCGCCCATTGATCCCATCTTGATATCTCTCGCCGAGTTCCAATGAACAGCAGAACGTCCACTATCTCAAGGGAGATCCTCTCATGGTGTTCGCTTGGAATTTGGCGGAGCTTCTGCACCAGCATTTCCAAACTGTCTTTTCAGTTTTCACCCTGTTTTTATAAATCACGGCAAAAGTACTCCCACTCAACCCTATAAAGAGCATATCAATGAATTACACTCTTAGAGATCCTTCCAATGAGTACCATTGTCTTTTGTACCATTGTACCATTGTACCATTACCAAGTACACTTTGAGGTACTAGTCAGTACTTCATATCTGTATCTCAAAACCACTAGAGCATCACGAATAGAATTTGAATATGAGCCAATGCACGAAGTGGCTCGTCTTATATTGGGCGCGTTTTCATGCAAAATGGGGGGAAAAATTAGTGCCATAGAGCCCATTAGAACGGTGTAGTTAAGTTCCCTAAAACCAGGTGGCGAACGTGTCCCGAGCATTGGAGTTTTCAGCATTGTAAATGAGGCCCGACCCCTTCTCATTCCCTTACTTCCCTTCTCAGTCATGGAGGATGCCTTAGGTCATATTCCTTCCACCCTCCCCTTCACTTATTTTTTATTATCCACGTCTCCCACTCGCCCACCCCTACCCCAGGATGCTTATGACCTTAGGGCAGGTCTCTGCCCGTTATGTCCCTCCGACCCTCCCCCTCACTTTTTTTTATTTATCCGCGTGTCGTTCACACGCCTTGGTGCACCTTGAATGGTTGCGTCAAAGGGAAAATCGTGCTTCATCCCCAGATTTCTTGCCTAATTTACATAATGAACATTTGTGACGAATAGTTGAAACATGCAATTATGCTTAGACTTTTTGCGCCTATGCCATATCCACCCTCAATGCCTCTGAGTCGGCTTTGGTTCGTGTGTTCGATTCACTGCCCCACGTGGATGTCAGAAGGCTGGGCATTTCCAGTGAATAAATATTTGGCAAATTAGTTAAATCGTTGCCTTTCTGTCTGGCAAGCTTCGATCGACGAATAAGAAATGGAGCCCGGTTAGGTGGAAGGGGAAGCTTGGGGCAGTGAGCCATGCCCTTGGGCTATAGTCTACCGACGTACGTCGTGTCAAGGTTTCCCTAGGAGATTGACGGTCTCATTCGCGCGAAAGCCCACTCCTTGAATCGCACACGGATTCTGACAATGCAAGAAGCACATAAAGTTGAGAGGTGGGGAGACGCTATGCGACATCTATGAAATATTTTCGCACTAGCGCAATTTTGAGGAAAATTAGGACACCCAAATAGCAGGTTAATGAATTGCGCTCACCTAAAAAACATCATAGAACAACTTTTCTAAGTCTGAGAAGGGCTTGGCAGCCTCTCTTTTGTTGAAGTTTTTTTCCGACCCTGGTTGGTGTCTCGGACTGTTATACTTGAAAGAAAGCTGATGAATCTGCGAAGAAAAAATACAAGCTTGAAGAATAAATTTTGTTAGGAGTGAAGTTGGATGTGGGCCTTACACAGCAAATAATAAAAGGGTAAGTTTAGGGTGTGCGATGGTTGAAAAATGCGTTTGCATGCACTTGAAAGCGGATGGTCACCTGTACGTGTTCATCCCCTCTCTAAGAGCCTCGCATAGCATTCTTAAGAGCTTGCAGGCTCTCCGAACAGGTGGGTGCGTGTGAGCGCCGTCGGGGTCAGGTTTGAAGAGTAAATGAGATAAGGTTGGGCCGAAAGCGACGCCTCAGATAATGCCGGTTCTCGCCCTAGGGCAATTGACGTCACTGGTACACATTTGTCTCGACTGCTCCATTCTCGCCCTTGGTTTTACTCGGACGTTATGAGACGTTTGGAGGCATAATATTCACATTTCGTAACCAATCGCCAAATCACCAAAACCAAATCAAAGGAAGGGAGCTTTTAAGCTACAGTTATGGCAAATCCCGTGATTTTCATGGGTACCACGAGGATATTCCCACTCACCACTTCAACCCATTTCTTCCTAACTTTCTTGTCTTTGCTGAGTAACTTGGAATTAGTGAAGTGAATTCCGATGAACAGCCGCGTTCTTGCAAAACCTCGGGATACACGATGGCTGTTTTGGAATTTCGCTTGGATTGTAAAACCGAGTTGTTTTCGGATTCCTCCCTTTGTCCAATTTAGGAATTTAACATTCGTATTCCATGAATTATCCAACCATTAATCAGCCCCCTCTTTATTATCTCCTAATCCATCTCCTAATCCAGTCGGGTGCATTCAAATATTTTCTTTTCTGCTCAGTACTGCCCAGGGATGAATCAACAGACTTGAGTTCATATACAAGGTAACCAGCTAAATACCCAAAGCCTTCTTTGCTCGCATTAATGATTTTTTTTGGACTCGGTTGCCAATTCAAGAGCTTCCTTCAAGCAAAAGCTTGAATGACTCCTTCAGAGCTTGAGGATTCACCCTGTAGAGCTTCAATCGAACCTGTGATGCTGTCATCGAATGTTCAGAGCATATCCGCATATTTTCAGGGTTTAACGAAGGATCCGCACACTTGCTCCGAATCATCCAGGTCTTCTGCAATCCAAGATCCTTTGGGAAACGATAAAAGGAAAGTTTCTCTCCGTCGGCTCCAAAATCATCAGATGTGTTTTTTTGCAGAAGTTACAGAATGCGATCGGCATCTCCGAATATGGACCTGACAGCGTCAAAATCAAACGATGCATTCATGCAAGTGCAAAATAATGGAGGCACTCAAGAGCAAGGTAATATGACAAGAAATAAAAACGGACTGATGTGACATTTTAAACAGACGAAATAGATGAGAGAAATGAGATTTTTTGAGGAGAGTGAACCCAGGGGAGTGCATACCAGTGACGTCATCGCCCTTCGAGACCCACCCTTCGCTGGAATGCTGGGAACCTTGCCTACTCTTCTAACTAGGTGTCGGGGCATGCATTAGTGCTTTCACCTGAATGTCTGGAGTTATCCTCGGCCTTGCGCGGAGCAGTGGCCCCCTCGAGCTAATCTCAAGGCTCAACTACAAACCCATGGTCGGATTAAGGTTTCAGGCGCCCCGAGGCAGAACACGCACCACACCCACCCCTTGGCACAATCTTGCAAGAGAGGGGGGAAACCCAAAATGAAGTCCTGACTCGTTATCTCATTTTTCATCGTATCCAGAGGTTTAGTGCTCTCTTAACCGAGGCTCCTCTGGCATTGTTCGTCTATTCAGTGATCTGTTCTTGGGTAAACCATTAGTAGTGAATATGGGACCTGCTTTATTGCTATGCGTGAGTGAAAGGCAGTGGGAAGGAAGGAAAATTTCCTTTTAGGGAAAATTTTCTGATTGAAGAGGTGCCCTGATAAGCAGGGCGACCTTAAAACGTATCTCATGGACGGATGCAAGACAAAATGGTCCCTACAGTAAAAAAAAATATAGGATGACGGCTCATCAAGAGTCAACGATAATTTTAATAATTGCGTTACCTACTCATGAAAACCTAAAACTAAGTTCTTAAGGACATGCATGTACACGCGTGCGTCTGTCAACCTGCCCAAACATTAACGCAAAGGACGCAAGACGAGCAAGATGTGAAATATCACCTTTAGTGCCAGGCTCGACATGAATATGAATAACATTTCGATTAAACAAAGGAGGCCCACTGAAGAAAAAGTAAAGGTGTGGATGCATGCAGGAGGCCTATGGGATATGACACATCAAAGATGGGTGGTGAACTTCAGGCCGCTTCCTTTGAAATGTCTCTCCACGTACACATCAATCTTGGCCTTGGCCTCATTGTTCAAGTGATTCCTCCAATCTCCGACTTCTCCTGTNTCTCCACGTACACATCAATCTTGGCCTTGGCCTCATTGTTCAAGTGATTCCTCCAATCTCCGACTTCTCCTGTGTGGGTGCAATAGAATGGTCATAGTTTCAAATGCATATTGTTCGTTCCTATATTGGATCTCCCGAAAGAGCCTTTGTGTGTATGTCATTACCCTTTCGAATGAAGGATTTATCTGGAATTAGAAACTCCATGTTGACGGAAGAGTTGTTTCTGAAATTTTGGAAGCTGAGGTGGTCCTCGAGGATCGGAATGTGTTCCTCAGGAAGGTCTACCCCCAAGAATTCTGCAAGTTTCTCGAGTTCTTTCCTAAGATCCTGCAAGAAGAAAGAGAAGCATATGACGATATACGCAGAGTACAATACTTTTGAAAATAAGTAAAAACACATGGGGCTGGAAATTATGACAAACAAAAAAGAAATTAACTTCCTGGCTTTTAGCGACTATGAATGAAACTTTATGCTAGATATCTTTTAAAAATGTACGCGGTGTCACATGTTCCGTGTCATATTCCGAAATTTTAAATTAAATTGGCTGTTCAGAAGCCTTTGAAAAGCGAAAATTTTCACTATGAGTGTCTGCCTGCGGCTGCTCCGTTGAACTTTCACAAGTCCAATCAAGGACCAGTGATAGAAGAGGACTGGACACTCCTCTGGGAATCGCGTATCAGCAGTCATCCACCCTGAGCAGGCAGCGAACCTGGTGGTCGCTGAGGAAAACTGCATTCGTCTGCCGCTGTCTTCTATGGCGAAGCATGGCGGACGCGTGTGTTCTATTAATTGTTATTATTCCAACGAAAACCCGGGAGGGAAACACTTCTTAAGATTTCCTGGACCTAAAATAAGTCAATATTGAAGATTAAGTTATGTGAGCCAATGTTTGCGCCTCAAGGATGAGCTCCTTCACCCTGAAAGACGTCCAAGGGCACTCTAAATCCATCTACATATAATGGAAATAAACTCTCAGCCTTCATTATGAAAACTGTGACAATAACTCATGAAAACTTCTGAAACGGAAAATGAACGTTTCTTCCATAAAACACTAACACAAAATCAATCAAGCTGTGATAAGTTGGATAACATCGAGTTTGCTTCTTACAACTAATTTTCATTCACGTTCGCACAGAAAACCGTACGCCCGACACGCAAAGCACCTCGTACCCAACGCCCAGAGCTCTGTCAGCCGAGGCATGCTTCTTCTCGGCCCCTTCCTCTTCCCCCTGTCCGATAATATTGAAGAATGAATACTTTCATCGGCAACAACATTACTCTTTGGTGGCATGGTGTTCATCTTCCCGATAAGGTGCACAGGGTAAAACTAAGAGAATAACGGTCGGAGACCGATGGAATACATGTACTACAATGGGGCAATGTTGTGTTTTTCCTCAGCAGCCGCTTGGAGCGCTGCCTGCACATCGACATCCATGATGATACGCGGAGTGCAAGCGTGCGGCTTCCGAGTGTCCAGTCCTTTTTTATTCCTGGTCCTATCACATCGTATGGGGAGGAGCCATCCTGAATTTGCACACAGCCACAATTACTATTTTGACTTCGCGTTGATAAAATGCTGTAACTTGAATTTTGAACGGCATATTCCGCTGAAATATCCGCGTTATCACCAACTCGCATTGTGTACCTATGTAAATATCCTTTCTTTATCACCTATGGTGTTCCCTCTGCAGGTTTGTGAATTTAAGAACGCTTTTTTTGGGCCACCTGATATTCTGGGTAAAACCCCTCAGGATTCACCAGATAACAAGGTATGAAACAAGTCGTGAAACAACTGCATTGATCCACAAGCTGAATGAATGCTTTAGTGGTCACTGCTAAGATAACACCAGTCTCCAATGAAAATAAAGGCTCTCATTACCTCTAAAAATCGTGACCCGAAACCCAATCCGAAGAACATTTCGGCATTTCATTGCTTCATTAACCCTTTCCGATCAGTTCTTTCGCAACGCTGCTATCGATGGAGAACTTCTGTTTGAAAAAGTAGTGGAAAGCGTTAACGACACTGCACGATGAGGCGTAGTGGAGGGCTGTGACTGGGAAAGCAAATCACAGCTTTTCTGTTTTCTACATGACGTCATTCTTTATTTGAAGACAAACTTTTGAAGCTGGAAAAACATTTAATCGTATTTTCCAGCTCTACGTGTGCCTAGTATGAAGTCTACTCAATATATCATCCAGGAGATCTGACATTATGTCATCCAAAATAAATTCCTCAATTTTCTCTGGGCTACCGGATAAGGGCTAACCTAATCCGACTGAGGCTGACCTTTTTCAAATCCTCGTAGAAGACGAAATGGAGGTTGGGGGAGTCTCTCCTTTCCCAGGCATCGAGGACATGTCGATGGAAGGGAGAAAAAAGAAGATTCCCTTCGACGAAGAAGTCCACTAAGTCTGAGATTTTCCCCTGAAACTGGTGGTGAGGCATCTTTTTCATGTGATGATAAAAGCTCACCACCACGTCGTACGGGTTCCGAGCGATGTAGACCATCTTGGATATTTCCATTAGGGAAGACGGGAGGAAGGCGAAGGGAAGGTGGGACTTGAGAAGACGGCCCGATTTCCCTAGCTGCTCTGCCATGGCCGCTTTCAGGAAATTTCGAGGAGTCCGAAATGGCTCCTCCGAGCTATGTGCTACTATCTCATCCACCCTATAACACACATTTAATTAAATGACAACTTCATTTTATCTTAATGCAAATCCCATTCCCCTCACTCGGTGCAAAAATGCATAATTTTTCGGCATTGAAAAGTTTTATGAGGAAACCGGACAAAAGGGACAATCAAAAGTCTCAGATTACCATCTTATGGGAAAGTGTAAGAGCGAAAAATGGCCTTCACATCTCTACGAGACATGAAGGGACCAACTGGATCCCTTTCGACATCAAGAGACCGATATCTTGCGTCATGTAGAGCTTCACTTGGAGACTAATAATCAACTCTGTTTCTAAACCTGAAGCCACCCTTTCTTGGTTGAAGTTTCCTCGTGTGATTAATGGATTCTACATCTGTCATCACTGTGCATTGGAATAAGGCAACCTCGTGAATTATTATCTAATGAGACTAATCGACTTCCGTCCCAAGGCATTCAAATGGCTCCTCCGAGCTGTTAAAATAAAATAAAACATATTTCGGATCAGTTTCATCTGATGCATCCCGTCATCCCCCTCTCCCCAAGGTTCCCTAAATGCCAATTTTTCAGGGGATTCCTTCCCAGAGAATTCAAATAAGACATCGTAGGAATTTGGAACGCCCAGGTATCAGGATTATGGGGGGATTTCTCCTGACATCAGACGCCCCCAATTTTTCTCAATAACAATTATCAGTGAGTTCTGCCTCATATCTTTCCACTATACACTACGTTGGACTTTGGATCGATAATAGGGGATCCGCGTTCCGTCATCAGGAAACCCTCAATTGCCTTTATGCAAATTTTCACGAGTTCCGCCTGGTAAAATTCGTGTGAGACATGTCTCCCGAATTTCGAACACCCCTATGTTGGGTGAAGAGGGGATTATTTTAATCATCAAAGACCCGCAGTTTATCTATGCGCCAATTTTCAGCGAGTTCCGTCTGATAGCATTCAAATGAGACTCACCTATCGGATTCGGCACACCCAAGGGTGAATCTCCGAAATATTTCGGCATAAGAGACCTTGAATACTGTAGCTATGAGCTCTGCTCGGGATGCGGATCGACTTGATTGGACACTGACTCTACCTGCGGATCAGACTTGTGACTGGTGCGGAATCATGTTTCCAGTGGGAGAAGACATCATCAGAGACCTCGAGTTCTCAAGCTTAGAGGCCTATAAACGGGCTGTGGGCCGCTCTGATTGGCCTGACACGTTGAGAGGGTCAGGCGTGTAAAAGTTTAGTCAGGGATTGGATTTCAGGTCGGGTCCCGCCAAGATTCAAATCGAGTCAATCTAGTCGGTTTCGGAAAAGTTGACTCCTGCAGGTCTCCGGCGGACAGACAGGCACACCAACCAACAAACCAACTAACATCGGCTGTTATTGTATTGATACTTTGAATACAGTGTAACATGAGGAATAATGGTCTTGGCATATGCAAGACTTCCATCAATTTGATACATATATTCCAGTCAATGAGAGAAGAATTTGATTTTTTTCCTAATCTCAGTAATGACAATGCGCTCACTCATTATGAGATGGGAGCAAATATGGCCAATAAAAAAATTGCTGACGTCAAGAACATATCTATACAAGTTTAAAATATCAAGTCTGCTAATAAGTGATTATGTTGATTGCTTTGGTGGTGTAGTGATAGGGCCGTCCCAATCACCACGAGTGGATCACAAGGCTCCAACACCATTTGCATGATGACTCATCCCTTTGACGGACTTGGTGCAAAAAAAAAAAGGAAGACCAGGGTGGATTTATATTCCATGATTTGAAGCGAACAGTCTGGCAATGTTATGCGCAAAGCGACTCGATTATAAGCGCAATAGAATAGTTTTGCCATTACGTAAGGAAACTTCAATTTTGCTTTTAAATTACCATTGCCCCAAACGACTTTTCTTAGATAGGTCTATGGGACACCTGTGAAAATGAACTAATACAAGTTTTCGTTGACATATCTGAATTAGGCAAATCTAGGAAGATAACTTACTCAAGATGAAGAAAACGCTGATGGAGAGGCTCTTTTCTGCTAATCACGGTGTCACAATCATTCTTGAGAAGCCAGATCATTTCAGCCAGCCATGTCGTCCCTGTCCAGCAAAAAAATATCAAATTCATTCTATAAATAGAAATTGGATCAACATGATTCTTCATGTCACATACCCACAAGGAACTAAAGATAGATATATTCAGATAGATGTATTCGAATACATCGTATAAAATATAGTAAATATGAAAGGCATGTATATGAAAGTATAAGAGAGTATATGAAGGCCAATAATATAGAAAAGAACATTAGACAGATAAGGATAGCTTTCCAATACTATGCAATGGCTTCATTACGACACAGATGAGAAGCAATGCAGAGGAAAGACTATTTGAACATCTCCAGAACGTCGGATGAGCCCGGAGTCGCTTCTCGAAATTTTATATTGACGCCATTACTCCATTGAAATCCAACTCAACAAGTAGAGACATCTTTAGGCAATGCCAGGAACGTACAGTAGAAAGGCTGAGGAAGCGAACGAACCGGTCTTGGGATGTCCAAGGAGGAAGACATCAGCGGAATGAAGAGGAAGTTCTTGGTAATCCTTGAATTTCTCCAAGAATCCGACTTGGAGAATCCAATCTCCTGGCTCCCCCAACACTGGGGCATGGGTGTATCCCTTGAAGTTCTCCAAGATTCGCTGACTTAGGGCGTCGTCCAACTTTTCCACACTCGTCATGATGAGTCACCTGAAAAGGAAGTAGCTTGAGTTCAACTTCAAGGTTTAAGGTTCGAGCCCGGACGAGGAGGAGCATTTGACGTCCATACAGGGATTTTCGATTTAATTTATCCTTCCTATTGAATTGCAATTTGGGCGACGTCTGTCGTCTCAAGATACCTGACCCTGATCATACCAAAGGCGGGACTGGCGTGGGAAGACGCTACGAATGAGCCCGACAGAAAAAACCTTGATCACAGCGGCATTACCCAAATTCGAAATTGTGTGCTTCCCGCTTCCGTCGTAGTAGAAGAATGAATTCAAACGAAAATGACTGCATTGACATCCTTTGTCTCGGGCTTGAACTCATGCTAACCTCTCCCCAAAATCTAAGATATGCCTCCCTCTCTAAAGATTAACGTGTTTAAATCACCAGCTTAGTTACATATAACTATAGTGTTCCCTTTTTGTTTCATTCAAAATGGAAAAGCTCTTCTTAAAACCAACCAATGAAGGGAGAGGCACTGCATCTTCACGTAGCACGTTCTACACATTCACTACCGGAAAAGTGAAATAAAAGTCGTTCCACAACTCAAACCCCAATGGAGGCTTATGCAACTTGAACCGGCTTCCTCTCGTTCGGTTGTCACCGTCGAGATGAAAAAACCTACCACTCCCTATGCTGTCGAAACCCTCAATGATCCTCAAAAGCTGGGGCGAGATCCCCCTTGTTTACTTTCTCTTCAGTGAATAGAGTCCTGAGGCGTCTAAGCCCGTAGTCCGTATTGGAACCCATTTGCATCCCTTATTACTTTAGTAACGAGTCTCTGAACACACTCCTCTATCATTAAATTCTTTCTCCTGTACAGTTCGGTTGAAATTTGAAAGGTGTGCCCAAAATGCGGCCGGCAGGCCACATGTAACTCATCGAATGCCTTAGCGAACATCCAATTTGGGCACCCCCAAACTTCATGGACAAACGAATACTTAATGCGAATCTTCTGCAGCCCACCTTCGCTCTAATTGCATTCAATGGCATAATAGCTGGAGGTAATCACAATAGTTGGACTCTCTCCAATTCCTTGCTCGTTCGAGGGGCCTCTTGGAATCTGACAGTATTGGAACATTCACCAGATTATTTCCTATTAGAGATGGGAATAACCCCTGCTGAAAAAACTTACTGAGGTCTCATTAAAAATTTCGTTAGGATTTGGAACACGAGTTCGCATAACTTCTAGCGAGCACCTCATGTGCCCACGAAGTTTCATAGCCTCTCATGAGTTCCTCCTGAGCGAATGAGTTATATATCTTGATATCACTAACTCTCCTGACTCCTGATGAGTTCTTGAACTTCTCATTTGTACCTTTTATAGCCGTGATATCTCGCCGTTTCCCCATTTGAACTAGTTCGACTATATCTGTGGAATGAAAGTTAAAGCTATGATCATAATTTAAATTACAAATTGTGGCTCTAGGCCAGGGAATGTGCCTTTTCATAGTAGGAATAGGCCAGAAATACGGGAAAAGGTTTAATGGAATGACCCTAACCATTCAGAGGCTTATAATCATCACATGTTCATTGCGAAAGGCCAAGCCCCAGGCCTAGGTCTAGTCTGAACATTATGGGCTATTATTCATTGACAAAAAATGAAAGTTGGAATTCTCATCAGGAAGCCTCAGCATCATGTCAGAGGTGAAACGCTATGATAGGCATACAGATATAGCATATGATATTGCAACTCCACCATGATTAGATTTCAAAAGCAACAGGCCCATGCTAAAACCAATGCAAAGTAGCACGGACTGATATGGCTAGGATAACACGACTTGATGACCAACTCCGAGAGTTCAAACCATGGATCGAAACTACACAGAAAAATCTACTCTTACGCACTCGAGCCAAGGGACGACGAAACCACGGCCGACACTCATCTGAGATACGCGCTCCGAGGGCGGTGACCTCCCCCCCCCCCCATGATGCGCGTCTTGACGTTGCACTGGATTGTCTTCTTCCGCGAGTTCCACGCCTGTTATGTGGGAGGATACCACAGATTCAATCTAGAAGGATCTTGGATCCCTGTTATTGAAGACCTTTTTCTGGCTTCATAAAATGAAATTGCCTTTCACGTCAATGCCTCTCCAAGTCATCCCCAAATCAGTGCCAAGTACCAACTAGTACGTGACAATTGCTACTCTGTTACACGAAAATTATTTACTTATTAACTAGCTAAAGTGCAAGTAGACCAATTATTAACTGAACACCATTAGTATTTCTATTAACAGTAATTCAATACTGGTAATTAAAAAGAAGCCCCTGTATTACTAAGACAAGCGAATAC